AACTCTGAGGTTTGGGGCGACAGCTGCTGGATGGCATTCCCTGCAGGCTGAGTTCATGAACATGCATCTGTACATCGAGGGCTTGAATGGTTTGAGAGAGAAACAGCTGCTGCGCAAGCTCCACTCCTCCAAGTGGTGGAACTATCGCTCAGTGGGAAGGGATGTATGTCCAAGCTGTGGCAATGCTCTCGCATATTTCATGCTGAGCTTTGTTGCCCACTAGGCAGCTTGTAGGGAGTTCTGGGTACCTACCATCCACCCAGTGAGGGCTCAAACCCATATTAGCTGGATGTCAAATGACCAACTAGTGATGATCCTCCTTGGAGGGGAGGAAAGCGGAGTCACCTTAGAGCTGAACTGGCTCCAAGGTGACATGTTCGGCAACGGAATGTCAGAATCAAGCCAACCCTCTGTGGAGGTCTTAGTACAAAAACAACAACTTAGCGCCATCCACATCGGACTGAGTTCCAGAGTGCTTAACAATGGCAGAGCCCGAGGCTGAGTGGGGGAGGGGGAAGGTGACCATAGACACCGTCGAAGAGGAAGGTCTTCGGGCGCGACCTGAAAATGGGGAAAGAGAGGGCAAGGCAAAGGGACTGAAGGAGTTCCATAGCTTCAGGGCACAGTGGCTTAAGGCATGGCCACCAATGGTGGAGCGGAGGATTCGAGTGACTGGGAGGAGGCCGGAGCCAGTACAGCGGAAGCAGTGGGTAGTATTGTGTGGAGAGAGGAGGTTGGAGAGGTAGGACATGCCAAGACGTGGAGGGATTTAAACACTAGAGTGAGGATCTTGAAGTCGATCCGCTCTGTGACAGGGAGCCAGTGGCGTTTGGCAAAGACTGGAGTAATCGGAGTGCGGAATTTAGTGCGGGTGAGAATGCGGGGGCTGGAGTTTTGATGAGTTGAATTTTGTGAATAGTGTAAGAGGGGAGACCGGCGAGGAGGGCAATGGAGTAGTCCAGCTGAGAGGTGATGAAGGCTTGGACAAGGGTTTCAGCAACTTGCGTTGTGGAGTGAGGTGTTGTCGGAAACGGACAATGTGGCAGAGGTGGAGGAAAGCAATTGTCCGGGTCTTGAGCCACGCACATCTGTAGTATTCCAGGATACTGCTGATAACAGACCAGCCAGCCTGACTCATCGACCCGATTTGGAAGGGCAGACCAGTCACTTTCTAATCAGTTTCCCAGTCAGCAAGCCAAAGACCTACGGGTAACTTGGTCCTAGCCGAACAAGCAGCGGGAAACCTTGCCAGGCGATGCTTTCAATGGCAAGTTACGTGGTTTTAGCTGGTTAGTGCAGCAGTATCACAACACACACTCTGGGGTCCCCAAACCTCGGCTCTTGCCAATCAGAGCCCTAATACTTTCCGGAATTAGATAAGCAGGATGCGTCCCTCCAGGGAGAGGGTGTGGATCCCATTCAAATAAATATCCCTGGGATTTCCGCGTGCAGGTGGGAAGCGGGGAATTCTCAGCTTGGTTTGGACACTCCTAACCATGGGGCTGGATTTCGCTCGAGTCAGACGCCCAACACCCAATTCACAAAGAAAAAAACTCTGCTGTGAGAATGCGCTGCGCCAAATGTGAGGGTGATTATTGCCGCCGATAACTAGGATCAAGTTTGATTAATAATAATGATAATAATCAAGTTTGATGATTAGTTATGGTGATCCTTCTCTGTTTTGAAGAGTGAGGTTGCCATGTGTACAGGGATGTCAATCACAGCCACGTGACCGGCCCTGGAGCCGGAACTTTCGCTCCCGGAGCCGCGGGTTTGGGGAACACATTGTGAGGTGCCGCGTGGGAGGAAGTGACGTACTTAGTTACGCGTCCAGAGACGGCAACAGCGAGAGAGAGACTGTGTGTGTGTGTGAGAGAGAGAGTCACAGAGAGAGACTGTGTGTGTGAGAGAGACTGTGTTTGTGAGAGAGAGAGACTGTGTGTGTGTGAGAGAGAGAGTCACAGAGAGAGACTGTGTGTGTGTGTGTGAGAGAGACTGTGTTTGTGAGAGAGAGAGACTGTGTGTGTGTGTGTGTGAGAGAGACTGTGTGTGTGTGTGAGAGAGAGAGTCACAGAGAGAGACTGTGTGTGTGTGTGAGAGAGACTGTGTTTGTGAGAGAGAGAGACTGTGTGTGTGTGTGTGAGAGAGACTGTGTGTGTGAGAGAGACTGTGTGTGTGTGTGTGTGTGAGAGACTGTGTGTGTGAGAGAGAGACTGTGTGTGTGTGTGTGTGAGAGAGACTGTGTGTGTGTGTGTGTGAGAGACTGTGTGTGTGAGAGAGACTGTGTGTGTGTGTGTGAGAGAGACTGTGTGTGTGAGAGAGAGACTGTGTGTGTGTGTGTGTGAGAGAGACTGTGTGTGTGTGTGTGTGAGAGACTGTGTGTGTGAGAGAGACTGTGTGTGTGTGTGAGAGAGAGAGAGAGTGTGTGTGTGAGAGAGAGAGTCACAGAGAGAGACTGTGTGTGAGAGACTGTGTGTGTGTGTGAGAGAGAGAGAGTGTGTGTGTGAGAGAGAGAGTCACAGAGAGAGACTGTGAGAGACTGTGTGTGTGTGTGAGAGAGAGAGAGAGTGTGTGTGTGAGAGAGAGAGTCACAGAGAGAGACTGTGAGAGACTGTGTGTGTGTGTGAGAGAGAGAGAGTGTGTGTGAGAGAGAGAGTCACAGAGAGAGACTGTGTGTGTGTGTGAGAGAGACTGTGTTTGTGAGAGAGAGAGACTGTGTGTGTGTGAGAGACTGTGTGTGTGTGTGTGTGAGAGAGACTGTGTGAGAGAGACTGTGTGTGAGAGACTGTGTGTGTGAGAGAGACTGTGTGTGTGTGTGAGACTGTGTGTGTGTGAGAGAGACTGTGTGTGGTGTGTGTGAGAGAGACTGTGTGTGAGAGAGACTGTGTGTGAGAGAGACTGTGTGTGTGAGAGACTGTGTGTGAGAGACTGTGTGTGTGTGTGAGAGAGAGAGAGTGTGTGTGTGAGAGAGAGAGACAGAGAGAGACTGTGTGTGTGTGTGAGAGAGACTGTGTGTGAGAGAGAGAGACTGTGTGTGTGAGAGAGACTGTGTGTGAGAGAGAGACTGTGTGTGAGAGAGACTGTGTGTGAGAGAGACTGGTGTGTGAGAGAGACTGTGTATGTGTGAGAGACTGTGTGTGAGAGGGAGAGACTGTGTGTGAAAAACTGTGTGTGAGAGAGACTGTGTGTGTGAGAGACTGTGTGTGTGAGAGACTGTGTGTGTGTGAGAGACTGTGTGTGTGTGAGAGACTGTGTGTGTGAGAGACTGTGTGTGTGAGAGACTGTGTGTGTGAGAGAGACTGTGTGTGTGAGAGAGACTGTGTGTGTGAGAGACTGTGTGTGTGAGAGAGACTGTGTGTGTGAGAGACTGTGTGTGTGAGAGAGACTGTGTGTGTGTGTGAGAGAGACTGTGTGTGTGTGAGAGAGACTGTGTGTGTGTGTGAGAGACTGTGTGTGTGTGTGAGAGACTGTGTGTGTGTGTGAGAGACTGTGTGTGTGTGTGAGAGACTGTGTGTGTGTGAGAGACTGTGTGTGTGTGTGAGAGACTGTGTGTGTGTGTGAGAGACTGTGTGTGTGTGAGAGACTGTGTGTGTGTGAGAGACTGTGTGTGTGTGAGAGACTGTGTGTGTGAGAGACTGTGTGTGAGAGAGGACGTGTGTGAGAGAGAGGGGGTGTGGAGTCACAGAGAGAGACTGTGGTGTGTGTGAGAGACTGTGTGTGAGAGAGACTGTGTGTGAGAGAGACTGTGTGTGAGAGAGACTGTGTGTGAGAGAGACTGTGTGTGAGAGACTGTGTGTGTGTGAGAGACTGTGTGTGTGTGAGAGACTGTGTGTGTGAGAGAGAGACTGTGTGTGTGTGAGAGAGACTGTGTGTGTGTGTGAGAGAGACTGTGTGTGTGTGTGTGAGAGAGACTGTGTGTGTGTGTGTGAGAGAGACTGTGTGTGTGTGTGTGAGAGAGACTGTGTGTGTGTGAGAGAGACTGTGTGTGTGTGAGAGAGACTGTGTGTGTGTGAGAGAGACTGTGTGTGTGTGAGAGAGACTGTGTGTGTGTGTGAGAGACTGTGTGTGTGTGAGAGAGAGACTGTGTGTGTGTGAGAGAGACTGTGTGTGTGTGAGAGAGACTGCGTGTGAGAGAGAGAGACTGCGTGTGAGAGAGAGAGACTGCGTGTGAGAGAGAGAGACTGCGTGTGAGAGAGAGAGACTGCGTGTGAGAGAGAGACTGTGTGTGTGAGAGAGAGACTGTGTGTGTGAGAGAGAGACACTGTGTGTGTGAGAGAGAGACTGTGTGTGTGAGAGAGAGACTGTGTGTGTGAGAGAGAGACTGTGTGTGTGAGAGAGAGACTGTGTGTGGAGAGAGAGACTGTGTGTGAGAGAGAGACTGTGTGTGTGTGAGAGAGAGACTGTGTGTGTGAGAGAGAGACTGTGTGTGTGAGAGAGAGACTGTGTGTGTGAGAGAGAGACTGTGTGTGTGAGAGAGAGACTGTGTGTGTGAGAGAGAGACTGTGTGTGTGAGAGAGAGACTGTGTGTGAGAGAGAGACTGTGTGTGTGAGAGAGAGACTGAGTGTGAGACTGTGTGTGAGAGAGAGACTGTGAGAGAGAGACTTTGTGTGTGTGTGAGAGAGACTTTGTGTGTGTGAGAGAGTGACTGTGTGTATGAGAGAGAGAGATTGTGTGTGTGAGAGAGACTGTGTGTGAGAGAGACTGAGACTTTGTGTGTGTGAGTGAGAGAGAGACTGAGGCTTTGTGTGTGTGAGTGAGAGAGACTGAGACTTTGTGTGTGTGTGAGTGAGAGAGACTGAGACTTTGAGTGTGAGTGAGAGAGAGAGACTGAGACTTTGAGTGTGAGTGAGAGAGAGAGACTGAGGCTTCGTGTGTGTGAGTGAGAGAGAGACTGAGGCTTTGTGTGTGTGAGTGAGAGAGACTGAGACTTTGTGTGTGTGAGTGAGAGAGACTGAGGCTTTGTGTGTGTGAGTGAGAGAGAGAGACTGAGACTTTGTGAGTGAGAGAGAGACTGAGACTGTGTGTGAGAGTGAGAGACGCTGAGGAGATGAGAGATTCAATGTGTGAAAGATACCATTAGTGAGAGAGATTGGGGCAGAGAGAGAAAGTCTGACAGAGAGAAAATGATCTATTGAGTGAGAGAGCAAGAGAGAGGCTTTTGAGAGACAGAGAAAATCTTTTGAGTGTGTGCACACTTAAGAGTGATAGTCTGAGATTATGAGAGCCGGAGAAAGAGAGAGAAACTGAGCCATCGAGCGAGAGAGTGGCGAGAGACTGAGAAGTAGTGTCTGAGAGATTGAGGTGTGTGTGCATGTGAGAGAGTGGCGCAATCTGAGCTGTTGTCTGAGAGACTGAGATAGAGGCAGTGAGAGGGAGAGGATAAAATAGTATATGTAAGAGACACAGACTTGGGACAGTGTGTATATATATATATGCGTGTTGTGTGTCAGAGGGAAAGAGAGAGAGTCTGAGCTTGTATGTATTGGAGAGACTGAATTTGTGTGTATGTGAGAAAGAGAAATCAAGCTGTGAATTGAAGAGAAAGAGAGACACAAACTACACTCAGACTGGGAAGGAGAGATCAGCGACCACTTGTGAGTGTAAACGCGGTCAGTGAGAGACATAGTGAAGGGAGTGACCAACTTCTGTAACATCTGGGATCGATATGACGGATGGTGAGGCCCTAGATGGAGAAGTGGATCATTCCTTCTTCGACAGTGACAGTGAGCAAAATGTGGGAGATGGGCAGAGAACCCCAGGCAGCGCATGGCCCATCATAGAGTCTAATCCCATGCAAGGACAATCGTCATCACATACAAGTCCTGAACCAGTGCCGTCTTCATCTGCAGATGGGAGCAGCAAAGAGGATCTGAGGACCAGTGCTGAGAAAAAATGCAAGCACAAGTTAGGCAAAAGCGTTTCTTTCAACAACAGGGGACCCGATACAGAAATGTTAAAGAAAGGAAAAGAGGGTCGGAGATGGTCAGGAAGTGGTTCTTCATCCCGATCAACCTCTTCTTCCTCCTCAACCTGCTCCTCCTCATCATCGCCCTCTTCTGTGTCAAGCAAAAGCAGCAGTAGCCTCCCAGGTAAAACTGTTTTACCCCACATTACAATACAAGCTGCAATCCAATCAGCATCTTCCGGAAATTCAGAAAGTGAAGGAGAAAGTACTGAGGAAGAGAAGAAGGTTGAAGAGAGATCCAAATCTTCTAAATTCGATCACTATGCCAAGAAGGGTGCGACTCGGAACCAACACCATCGCTGCAAGTTTGATTTAGATCAAAATGTAGATCAGAGTTCAGGTTCTGACTCTGACATTAGCAAAGGCACCGTGTATCATTCTTTGCTGGAGGAGAAACCATCTTCAAGATTTTCAACATCCAAGCAGAGACCAAAATCCGCTTTGAAGTTGAGTAAAGAGAAACATATAAAATACCTTAACAATGAGGGTGCAGATCAAGAAGATGAAGATGCAATAACTGACGTGACCCCTCTCTCCACCCCAGATTTCAGTCCCATTCAGTCTGTTGACTTCTCTGAGAATAAAGGAAGCAGAAAGCAGGAGAATGTCGGCCAGGAAATATATGATTTGGCCAAATCAAGCCCTGGCTCAGAAAAGAGCCAAAGACCAGGAAAGTTAAGCAGATTCCAGAGAGGAGAAGCTGCTTCTTGCCATTCCGAGAGCAGTACCGTTTCCTCCGCCAGATCAAAATCAGCACAACCTGTTTCCTTTACACAAAGACACAGCAAGAAGACTCTCACCGATGCCACAGATCTCAACCAGCTCCTCAAAGGTGACATTGCTCTCTATTTGGTAAAATGAACGTTAGGTGTCAAACTGAATATACTTTATTCCAGTCAAAAAAATATGCGAGTGGTCAATCACGAGTGAAATCAATTTAGTATATGATAGAAATTCCATTGTCCTTGCTTGTTGTAAGTTCATTACTACAGAGTAGTTGAAAGTACCAGACATTAGTGCTGCATTGGGGTTCAATTGATGAAGTCCCTAGATTGCTTAAACGTTGTAATTCACTGATCAGCATCTAGTGTGCTCGATATCATGCAACACAAAATATTCATTATTATGCATCATTTGAAAGAGAAATTCAGCAGGATATACAATTGTTTTAGAATTCCTTGATCATTCCTATCAGAAGCTCAGCACTGTAATCCAGACATTTATTGTTGGGCTATTGTAGGTAGATTGGCAGAGCCACGTCAGTTATATTGGCTATTTTTAGTGTGTGAGCACTTGACAGACCTCTCTGCTTCAATTTATTTAGAAGATGAAACAAAGTTTATCAAGTAATGTGCACCATTCTTCACAGCATATCACACCTTATATGAGTGACAACTATATTTTTTTAAATGAAGCTCATTTTGCAAATACCTGTATGTATGGTTAAGTTCAAGACACATTCTTACATTTTTGATTTGAATAATATTTTTTGGTATATGAATGAAATTGTTACTCTTTCAGCTTTTATGCACTTGGAAAAGGAGGAGCTCCAGAAAATAGTTACTGACTCTCCAGCGCATGAGGGCAAGAAAAACTACTCCTTCACCAATGAAGAGATCAGATGTATTGATCGTGAAAATCATAGATTGCTACAGGAGCTGACTCGAAAAGCCTCCAAATCAAAAAGTAACATTTCAAAGAAAAGTTCAATTGCACCGATCCGAGTATACCACAGCACTCTAAACAGACATAGGGAGCAAGAGAGGATAGAGAAAGAAAACTTGGTGAGTTCATATAGCTCATAGATACTGAAGCAGAAGTGCCCCCACATGTAAGTTACACAAATGTCTGTACTGAATTAGCTGATCTCAGCCCTGATGTTGTGAAGCACATTTTGGCCTTGCATCCCTGGGCGAAGTTAGGCAGAATGTACGTACACATGGCCAGCTGATGTTTGATGCATTTTATTTTATTCAGTCTGTACTCTGCAGTACCATAGTGAAATCACATGGTGGTGCTGGCGATATGATGAATACGATGTTGTTCATAATTGTTGGGCACAAGCAGTTTTGACCTCTTTATTCTCCTCAAAGAATTAACTTTAATGGCATTGTAGATGCCTCTGAATTTGTTTTTTTGATTATCCTGGTATTCAACACAAGTGAAAACCTATCACTCTTCAAACCAAACTATTGGGAGTTCCCCATATCTCTCTGGTAAGGAATGCTTTCTTTCTCCCCAGAGGGATGCACCATTGCCTACCTAATGCCAGAGAGTTTAAGTACAGGAGCCAAAGCTCAAGTCTCAGAGTAGGCATTGGGATGCTGAGTGGTTTTAATCAGTTTATTATTATGAACAGTGTGACAAGCTTCCCATTACTTGTCTAGCTAGGGTCACCCATCAGGGCTTTGTTTTGAAGGGTAATCCCAGTGAGATGAATACCAGCACTGAATGACTGGCCTTCCTCAGTCCCCCTAACAAGTCAGGTTGGTTTTCAACAATACAATATCATTTACATCTTTATAGCGTCTTGAAGTTTATGAGACCTACCAAGATCATCAGAGAGGATTGACTCAATTCCATTACAAGGCTCATCATTGCTTTTGAGCCAATTCAGCCCAAATCCTGCCCCCCCATCACCAGAGCCAACTCAGCCTGAAAGAGACCTGCCTATGTTTCTCTTCCCCCTCCCACAACATAAGAACATAAGAAGTAGGAGTAGACCATTCGGTCCCTTGAGCCTGCTCCGCCATTTAATAAGATCATGGCTGATTTTCTAACCTAATTCCATTTACCTGCCCTATCCCCATATCTTTTAATCCCTTTAGTTTTTAAAAATCTATCGATCTCAGTCTTGAATATGTTGAATGACTGAGTATTGACAGCCTTCTGGGGTAGAGAATTCAATAACTTCACTACCCTCTGAGTGAAGAAATGTTTTCTCAACTCAGTTCTAAAGGGCTGACCTTTAATCCTGAGACTATGACCGCTAGTTTTGGATTCTCCAACCAGGGGAAACGGTCTCACACCATCTACCCTTCTACCCTGTCAAGACCCTTAAGAATCTTATAGGTTTCTATAAGATCACCTCTAATTATAGAGAATATAGGCCTAGTTTATTCAACCTCTCCTCGTAGGTCAAACCCTCATCCCAGGAACCAACCTAGTGACCCTATGTTGCACCCCCTCTAAGGCGAGTATATCCTTTCTTAGATAAGGAGACCCAAACTGCACACAATATTCCAGGTGCGGTCTCACCAGGGCCCTATACAATTACAGCAAGACTTCCCTACTCTTGTACTCAAACCCCTTTGCAATAAACGCTAACATGCTATTAGTCTTCCTAATTGCTTGCTATACCTGCATACTAACTTTCTATGATTGGTGTACAAGGACACCTAAATTCCTCTGAATACTAACACTATCTAGTCTCTCCCTGTCTAAAAAATAATCTGCTTTCCTATTTTTTTCTACCTAGGTGAATAACTTCTTGTCTACCGTCATATCTTTTAATCTACTTTCCCTGTCTATTTTAGCCAAATTGTCCCTCATACCTGCAAAGTTGGCTTTATTTAAGTTTAAGGCCCTTGTTTCGGACTTAACTACATCACTCTCTTAAATTCCATCATATTATGGTCACTCTGCCCTAGAGGAGCCTTAACTTCAAGATTACTGACTAGCCCTGCTTCATTACACACTACAAGATCTAGGACAATCTGTTCCCTGGTTGGTTCCTCAGCATACTGATCCAGAAAACTATCTCTCATAAACTCATCCTCTAATTTACTTTTGCCAATTTGATTTTCCCAGTCTATATGAAGATTAAAATCACCCACGATTATTGTATTACCCTTGTTATATGCTCCTCTAATTTCCTGATTAATACTCTGCCCAAAACTGTAACTGCTGTTCACGGGTCTATAAACTACTCCTATTAGTGTTTTCTGCCCCTTGTTGTTTCTTAGCTCCACCCATACTGATTCTACATCCTGATTTTCTGACTTAAGATCCTTCCTCTCTACTGTTTTTATCTCATCCTTTATTAACAGGGCTACCCCCCACCTCGTTTTCCATATTGCCTATCTTCCCTATACGTCAGGTACCCTGGAATGTTTAGCTCCCAACCTTGGTCTCCCTGTAACCACGTCTCAGTAATGGCTACTAGATCGTACCTGTTTATCTCTATTTGTGCCATTAATTCATCTATCTTGTTACGACTGCTTAGTGCATTCAGGGAGAGTGTCTTTAATTTTAACCTTTTACTATTTCCCGTACTCATTAATGCCCGATTTTCTTTGTTAAAACTCTTTGTCCCTACTTGAAACACTGTGTTCATCATCTCCCAGGTTGCTACTCTGCTCTGCAGCCTTGACTTTTCTTATTTGCTTTGTGAATTTACATTTAACCGTAACCCTCCCTCCTCCCCTATTTAGTTTAAAGCTCTATCCAAACCCGTCCAAAGAGGATTTAAAGGAAGAGTACAAGATCCAAAATAGCTACCTAAAATAATGGGGACACTACATCTTAGAATTCGATTCATAATCTGTCATCTCCCTTTTTAGGTGGAAATTAGAGCTCCCATGGCTCTTTCTGGAATGGAAAGGGAGTTTCTCCATTGTCTTGGCCAACAATGCACAGATAAAATTGGTCATTCACCTTGTGGCTATTTATGCAACCTACAAAATACAATTATTGCACTTCACAGTAAAATCAATTATCAATCGCAAAAATTATTATTAGTATAAGTATTGCGCAATAAATCTCCTTCCTGCTCCAAAAAAATTATGTTCAATGATGTGTGTATAACTGGCCCAAAAAATTCTTCAGGAGAATGGATCGGTTATACAAACACAACTTCAAAAACAACTTGCACTTATATAGCACCCTCCACACAGGGTAGCATCGTAGAACACTTAAGACCTGTAGCTCAGTGGTTAGAGCACTCGCTTTGCAAGCGAGAGACCAGAGTTCAATTCCAGGCACAGGGTGAAACCTTGGGCAAGTTTCCTTACTCCACACAGAGCCTAATAATAATCCCTCCAAAAAAACAAAAATAAATTGGTCATTTTCAATCTACGACTGTTTGTGAGACACTGCTGTGCGCAATTGGCTTCCGCGTTCGCCCACAAATATACAGTCAATTCACTTTACAGTATATTCTGTGAAGCGCTTTGGGAGGTCTAGAAGACGTGAAAAGCGCTATATCAAATGCAAGGATTATTATTAACAGTGGCAAAGCTGGGGGGTGGGGTGACTGTAAGCACGGTCAAAAAGGAAGCTTTTCAGGTGGGACTTGAAAAAGGGGAGAGAGGGGGCAAGGCAGAGGGAATGAAGGAGAGTGTTTCACACTTTTGGGGTGTAGTGGCTGATGGAACGACTTCCAATGGTGGAGTGGAGGGGGAAAGGGACAATCAGGAAACTAGTGCCAGTTGAGCGGAGGCGCCGGGTGATGGGTTGGGGAGCGAGGAGGTCAGACAGGTAGGGAGGTGCCAGGGAGTGAAGGGGCTTGAACACGGGTGTGAAAATCTTGAAGTCGATCTGTTCGATGATGGGGAGCCAGTGGAACCTGGCCAGAATTGGTGAGATGGGGCTACGGACTTTGGTCCGGGTAAGTATATGGGCAGCAGAGCTCTGAATGAGCTGGATTATTTGAATAATGCAGCTGGGGAGACCGTCGAGGAGTGTGTTTGAGTAATCCAGGTGGGAGGTGACAAACGCATGCATGAGGGTTTCGGCTGCATTTGGGGTAAACAATGTTGGAGGCGAGCAATGTAGCAGAGGTGGAGGAAGGCGATCCTGGTCAGGAACTGGATGTGGGGCAGGAAGGACAGCTGGGGGACACCTAGGTTGCCCACTGTTTTGGTGAGTCTGAGGGAAACCCCAGGGAGGTTGAGGAGTTCAGATCGACAGGAGTGAAGACGTTGACGGGAGCCAAGGTGTACTGGAGGAGGTAAAGTAGTTGGTACTGGAGGAGGCAAAGTAGATTTGTGTGTCATCCACATACATGTGGAAGTTTACCCCATGTCTGCGGATGATATCACCAAGAGGGAGCATATAGCTGAGGTAAAGAAGGGGGCCAAGGATAATAATAATAATAATAATCCTTGCATTTGATATAGCGCTTTTCACGTCAGGAGGATGTCCCAAAGCGCTTCACAGAACACACTGTAAAGTGAATTGACTGTATATTTGTGGGCGAACGCGGCAGCCAATTGCGCACAGCAATGTCCCACAAACAGTCGTAGATTGAAAATGACCAATTTAATTATTGTTTTTGGTTTTGGAGGGATTATTATTAGGCTCTGTGTGGAGTAGGGAAACTTGCCCAAGGTTTCGCCCTCTGCCTGGAATTGAACTCAGGTCTCTCACTTGCAAAGCGAGTGCTCTAACCACTGAGCTACAGGACTCCACTCCAAGGTAGATGAGGGAGGAGAGCCAATGGAGGAGGATGGCGTGGTCGACTGTATCAAACATGGCAGAGAGATCCAGGAGGACGAAGAGACAGATGGAGCCCTGTTCACAGATAGAGAGAATGTCGTCTGTGACTTTGACGAGCGCTGTCTCTGTGCTGTGGTCAGGGCAAAAACCAGACAGCAGGCGCTCGAGGAGGGAGTGGAGGGTGAGGTGTGAGCGACGTTGACCTGCAACAATGCAGTCCAGGACTTTAGCAAGGCAGGGTAGGTTGGGAGTGGGACAGTGGTGGGAGAGATTAGAGAGATTGAGGTTGGTTTTTTTGAGGTGGGGTGTGATAACAGCGGTTTTCAGGGGGAGTGGAGGTTGCTGT